CTTCCCGCAGAGTTGTGTCACCCTTGGGCGCAGCACAGGGGGAGCCCAGAGTAGAAGCGTGTGGAGGTGTTGGTGCACAGGCGGGAGCTGGAGGTAGGGGGGCAGAGGGAGAGCTCCCCTGCCTGGAGGAAGCACCCACCCCTGTGGCATCAGGCCCAGGACCTTGGGGCTCAGCTGCCTCCTCCCTCTGTCCTCACTATTTATTTATTTAATTATTTGTTTATTTATTTATTTACTTATTTATTTAAAAGACTTTTATTGATTCCAGAGAGGAAGGGAGAGAGAGCCATTGGTTGGCTGCCTCCTGCACGCTCCCTAATGGGCATCAAGCCTACAACCTGGGCCTGCGCCCTGACCAGGAATGGAACCAGTGCCGTCTTTGTGGATGGGTCGCTGCTCAACCCACTGAGCCACACCGGCTGGCTTCCCTCAGCTCTTTGTCTCCTTGCAGGGTCTGACTAGGTGCAGCTCCTGAAGGCATAGGCTTGGGGCACAAAATAGAGGCTCTCTGGGAACTCTGTACCAAGGTGAATCACATGGAGCCCAGATCTGTGTTCTCAGTGGTTAGAGCGTCAGCCTGCACAGCAATGGGCCAGGGCTAGGATTCCAGGTCAAGGGCACTTATCTCAGTTGCAGCTTTGATTCTTGGCCCAGGGTCATGGAGCGTGTGGTAGCCAACCAGTTGATGTGTCTCTCCACATTGATGTTTCTCTCTCTCTGCCCCCTCCTCCATCCCTCCACTCTATCTCTAAAGATGAATGGAAAAAATCTCCCCAGGTGAGGAATTGAAAAAAGAACCATATTTAATGCAAAACTTTAAAAAATCGAAACTAATGCAAATTCCATGGTGAATGAAATATCAATAGGCTAAGTGAAGACTGATCAGTTACACAGCCATGGGAGCCATGATTTGCTCATGTAGGAAAGTCCTCACTGCTGATGTGCCCTTTGTAAATGCTGATATTATGTGGTTCTTGAGTCGCCTGACCTTTGACCATGTAGATTCTGCATTGAAATAGCGTTCATCTTGATGCTGAGCTGTGCCCCTTCAATCCTGTGCTGGAGGACAGAGCCTCACCTGCCTCTGGCTGGTGCCACCCTCCCCTGTTCACAGCAAGTGACAGATCCCTCTTCTCCCCCCTCTGTGCTCAGAATGCTGGCACACACAGGGAACATTGTCATGAAGAGTCGTGCTTCCTGGATGGTAACAATCGCCGGAAACGCTACCCTCGTGCAGAGTTGTGCTTCCTGGCTCTGTTCCAGTCTTGGCACCTGAATGAGGGGAAGCAGTATAGACTCACCTGGTACAGCTCCTGGAGCCCCTATCCTGACTGTGTTCCGAAGCTGGTTGAATTCCTTGGCGACAACAGCAACGTGAGCCTGCGCATCTTCGCTGCTGGGATCCATTCCATATTCACTGGATATAAGCGTGAACTGCGCAACCTGCGGGACGCTGGGGCCCAACTCGCCATCATGACCCTGGAAGGTCAGCAGGAACTCCTGAGGTGGGAGTTGGGCAGGCAGGGAGGCTGGGAAATGGCTACATGGAGGTGGCAGAACGAGAATCCAGGTGGGGATGCCTGTCAGCTGCCTGCAGGGGAGCTGCTGGGTCTGGAGAGGATGGAGTCCCCTGGAGGAGAGAGTTCAGGGGAGAGATGGGGTCCTGGGAAGGGGGGAGGTGGGTCCCTGTTCCATCAGGACCCAGGTCCTTCCTGGTAGAAGGGGAGGGGCTGCCTCAGATTCCAGTGGAAGAAAGAATTTGAGGGATGAGCTCAGTGCCTTGGGAGGAG